CTTAACCCTTTATATTTAGATAACTTCTTCTTACATCAGGAGTGGGTCCTCTCTACGGAGGCCGCCATGTTTTATAACTTAATTTTTATAACAACTGAAGCTACCACAGGTTCTCTTTCACGTTTGGAGGGGGAGGGTGAGGTGAGGGTTATTCAGCTGCAACATGCAACTTCACCACTAGATGTCACTAAATTCTACCCCTTTAAGTTCAGTTTCGTATTATGTGAAGTCATGCTACCCTGTAAGACATGATATATATTTTTAACTGCAGATGATTTGTGGCTGTGCTTGCAATGGTTAGTTTGTGTTCCTACCTATTCCAGACACCTGGTCCCAGGCGATGTCCATAGCCAAGTGAGCCATCTTAGGTCCAACTCCTGGCAGGCGGACCAGCCCTTCCACGCTGTTCGGGATGTCCCCTCCAAACTCTTCTTGCAGCATGGCTGACGTCAGCTTCACATACTTCACTTTAGTCTAGAGAGGAGTGGGTGTGGAGAACCCAGGAGAGAACTCACTCAGGTGCACAACAGGAACAAACAAGGAGGTAATGAAGGTGGAAGTGTGGCCACAAAGTGATTTCATTAAAGTTACTGTTGTAAACCACGTAAGGACGCAGAGGTAATCGTGTTACCCTCCAGAAGCCGACAGGGTGGATGAGCTTCCCCAGTTTCTCATCATCAGTGCTGAGTATATTCTCTACTGTGCAGCCGTGCGCTCTGAGCTTCTGCATGGCTGCTGCCGTCACCTGGTCCTTGGTCTGACTGGACAGCATGAGTGACACCAGAACCTGGAACCTTCTCACCTGTGCCGACACAGACAATAACAGAGGATTAAATCAACTACTGATTTACACCGACATTAGACAATCAAATCCACACCTACATGTGCAGGGGCGTCTGTGTCGTAGCATTTCTCTGCTCCCATGTTGTCTACAGGTGCATCTCGACCGCTCCTCATCTCACGAATGAAACCTAATTGTTTCTTCCAGTCCGGCGGTTCCCAGTGTTCTGTCTTCACCAGTGAAACACCCTCACCCTCGTCATATTCCACCTTAAGCTGTCTCCTCCTGCGGCCGTGCGAAGACAGCGGCAGAGTGTCCGTTTCTGTTTTTGGCTGCACACTGGTCTGTTGGAGGGGTTCATGGCACCTGACTGAAAAAGCACAGGGAAGAGAGACTGATGTATACCTGACATGGACTGGAAAAAACGTCTGCATTAAAAGCTAAATACAAAACATGACCAAACAAAGCATGTGCACATCAAACATCCCATCCAAAACCATTGGCATTAATGTTCTGCAGCATTAGTGACACTGATGATGGCCGGCAGCCTGGATCATAGCTGGACCTCAGCCGTTGGATCTCAACAGAGTTAGATGGGGCCGAGGTCAGCGCTCTGTGCAGGCCAATCAAGTTCTTTCACATCAAACTGGAAAAAATGATTTCCTCCACCAAGACAGTTATGTTTTCACCACTGAATTTGTTGCTTGGCTTGTATATTTGTTTGTTAGTAAGATTACACAAACACAACTGGGCAGATTTTCATAAACTATGTGAAAGGATGAAGAGAGAGGAATGTTGGTGCAGATTCAGGATTGTTTTTCAAGTTTGATCTTGATGGAAACAAAAACCGGCACCACTCATGTCCCTAGAAATGTACCTTGGGAAAATGCATTTTACTTTTTTGTGTGAATGTTAGGGTTGTTTTTACATTTGAATGGTATAGCTCTGTTTTACAATTCTTTGACCATGTAAAGCACTGTGTGCTTAGTGCTTCACTCTTGTCTGTGAAATGTATGTAAGTAACCTACTTACTACATAAGATTCCCCTTAAATTGCCACGAGCCCCAGACCTAAAACAACTGAACCTGTCCATATACCTCAGGCCACATTGTGTGTATTGTGACTGTACCTGTGTGTGTCCACTGACAGATGATAACAGTGGGTGAAATCTAATCTGCAGCAGCCTGAGTGGCAGCTTCCTCCATCTACCTGTGGTTGTTGTAGTGTTGCAAGTTTAAGATGCAACAGTGTCACAGTGACCCGTAAACAAATCAAAACTATTCCCCTGTCTTTGCGCAAGTGTTAGAAACCAGTGCTGGTTCATCTAACATATGTTTTCCCCAGTGTCTGTGCGGCTGTGTGCCACATCACCCGCTGATAAGGGGGCCGAGGAGGGTCCTGGCTCAGAGATCCTCGCCTCCTCCACCTCCACCTTCACTTCCACGGAGGAGACCGGAACCACGTTCCTCCGTCTGCGGCTGAGCCTGGAGCCCAGAGAGGCGGCGGACCTGCGGCCACCGGTGTGAGCTCCACTCCGGGAGACCACGGATCTGCTCTGAGAGAAGTAAGGAGAAGTCATCCTGAAACACGGTAACACACCACAGACCCTCGTGCTGCAGCAGACCGCAGCCATGAAGCTGAAGTCGGTTTCTCATTCGTTGTCGCGTCACGAGGGGAAGCAGAAAGTTTGTGCAAACAAAATACATCATTTGTTTATATATATAAAATCATTCATTTCACATTTTATATTAACAAAAAATATTTTAGGCTCCATTGATTACATAACGC